CCCCAAAACCCCAAAACCCCAAAACCCCAAAACCCCAAAACCCCAAAACCCCGACTTGTGCTAATCGATTGACAATTTAGTCAATAGTATAATATTATGACTTATTTTTCCGGATTTATGTATCATGATGTCTAAACTTCGGTGACAAGACTTTAGAAAGTAGAAATCACCTTGATTTGTAAATCCTAATCATCTGAGCGACTAAGAAGCTCTGTGGAGATTTTTTGATAAACCTGGGCAAAGTTATCATCTGGTCAACTAATTTTGCCACGAATAGTAGTGCAATAGTAGAAAATAGTCTACAGCCAAAATTTTGATAATAAAGTAGAACCTTCCAATAAATAGCTGAGTTATAATCTTTCCTAAATAGAATCTGCCTTCCTACACTCTCTGAGCACAAGAAATCACTTGGTTGGACTTATTAAGGGGGTAAGTAGTCTGATGGGAATATGGCTAACTTTCAGTATTTTCCCAATAATTCTACAGAATTTGCCTACAGTCTTTACGCTCTTAAGCTTTCTTTTTCTGCCCAATTCCATGCAATTTTACCTACCAAAAACCGGGTTTGAAGCTTGGAAGATGATAAAAAATTTCAAATAAATTATCTTCGATGCATGATGGCCTAACTTTCAGAGATTTATACCCTGACAGCGGGAACACCAATAAGTCTCTTTATCATTCCAGAGATAATTAGCTGGAGATTACAACCTTAAGAGCCAGATTACCCCTTCAGTTCTCAGTTTGTTACTAAACTCAACTAATTTTCCGAATAAATTTGATATTTTATTAGAACATTCCGACTGCCAAGATCTCTTAGTGTTGTTCTGCAATGTTCAAAAATGCTCTCATCCCGATAATTTTAGACCTAAAAATGGTAGCTAAAGTTAAAGATGAACTCTCGTCTTTGCAATGCTAGTTATGCTAAGAAAGGTGAATATTTTAGATATACAAAGTTGACTTACGACAAAAGAACCCAAGTACTTTCCTACACATATTATTTAACCACCCATGCTTTCATCCCTACAACTAGAGTGCTAAATAAGCCAGGGAGAAGGGTGCTAGAGCTATAGAAGTCCTCTGAAATCACCAAGAAAAGCGTAGAAACAAGTATACAGGATTATGAAATATTTAAAAAATCTTGAAATAGGTGAATTATCTTCGAAATTTCTGCTGAAACTTCATGAGGAAATTATCATGGTTCTTTAAATTTTCTCTAATTTCAGATAACTTTGAAAGACCCTTATCTCAGAAAATGAAAGTTATATGTTAATGAAGGATGTACAGTGAAAAAGGAAGGTTTGCAAGATAATTCCGATCATCTTCGATTATGCTGATTCCGCGCCACAAAATGTAGAATAGAGCATAACTTTGCTAGTCTTCGGTCATGGTCGGAACTCATAAATAACTTGAGGCATCTATTTCATCGAAAGTTATGAAAGCCCAAGTGTGAATAAAACCTAGTGAATTATTAATAAATCGACTGGCATTGTAAATGGGCCAGAGACTAGCCTAATTCTTTAACATTCTTCTTGGGGAGGAAAAGAGGCAAGCAGCTGATGCTGACATGCAAACATATCTGGTTTATTTCATAAATATCAATTTCTCAAACCCCTGTTGCTTTCCATAGTGATGTTATGATGGAGTTACGATATTTCCACTCATATTTTTCTTGGAAATTAATTTTTTAATAAAATTTTCTAAAATGCCTTTCTTCAAATTTAGGCATCATGAAATATCTGGCTGGTGAATGTTGGGAAAATTGTTATGATTTATGCTCTGGATACTCATTTTGAATTTACCAAAGCTTTCCGGCTCTCATTGAGCATCTATTCAGCTTAAAGAAGTCTATATGTCCTGAAAAAAGCCAAGTTAAGATGTAGCTCATTGTTTTGGACAAAGAGGAAATATTCTTCACTTAAATTTATTAATAAAGGACTCTTAAATAAGTCTCCTTCAAAAAGTAACCTGAAAGACACCTTCATATGCCTTACCTTACCACTAAGTTTCCATCGACATTTAGTTGCACACTTCTGTGTGGTCAACTATTTTTGCTCGATATGAGAAAAGAAGGCTGGTGACCTTTGATGAGGTGGTATGATATGATTATTCACACAGCTAATAAAAGTGTATGAGAGAGCAAACTCGGATTCTCAAGCTCCAGAACTATTTTAATGTCGATAAATAGGCTCCAAGAGTACAAGAAGTCATGAAAGATTATTAAATGAGCTCCTTACTTTGACATACAATTTTTCAAAGTTTACTAAACTCTTAATATCATTCAAAAATAAGTCAAAATCGATTTAAAATTGAAAAGATCGCTTCTCTTCTCACTATTTTAAATTTTTTAAAGCTAATAACTGGCGAAATTGAAATAATAAGAATTCTGGGATTGCCAAATAAGATGAAAGCAGCTTATATAAGGTATGGGTTTCCTAATTTTCTCAAAATTAAGAAGGAAAATTTCCTAAGACTTGTACCAGAGGAGTAATTTATGTTATATACCACTTTAGAGAGACATAGAGAGCATCCTAGACTCCTCTCATGCAATATCACCAGAGTTGTAATAAACCTTTTAAGTAATACAAAATGTGTTGAAACAGTGAAGATTATTATAATTTTTCTTAATAATCGCTAGCAAAATGAGTTGACCGCCTTGGGGTTTTGGGGTTTTGGGGTTTTGGGGTTTTGGGG